TCATCATCATCATCATCATCATCATCATCATCATCATCATCATCGTCAGCATCATCAGCATCAGCATCATCATGATCATCAGCATCATCAGCATCATCATCATCAGCGTCATCATCATCATCATCATCATCATCATCATCATCAGCATCAGCATCATCATTAGCATCATCATCATCCTCATCATCATCCTCCTCATCATCATTATCGTCAGCATCATCATCCACATCATCTTCATCCTCGTGACCATAATCACCAGCATCATTATCACTATCATCAGCATCATCATCAGCATCATCAACATGAACAGTGCCATCCTCACTGCCATCAAATCATCATCATCAACCATCGGTATCGTCGTCATCACCATCACCGGCATCGCAATCGTCAGCGTCATCCTGATCAGCCATCGCATCATCGTCATCGTCGTCGTCCTCATCATCGGTCTCATCCTACGCCTCCTCCTCCTCCGCCTCATCATTATCATCAGCATCATCATCAGCAACATCATCATTTGCAGCAGCATCGTCGTAGTCATTATCATCAGCAGCTGCATATCCGTCATCATTGTCAGCATCAGCATCGTTATCATCAGCATCATCATCATCATCAGCAGCATCATCATCAGCATCGTCATCATCAGCAGCATCGTTATCATCATCAGCATCATCATCATCATCATAATCATCATCATCATCATCATCATCTTCAGCACCATCATCATCAACACCTGCATCATTATCATCAGCTTCATCACCGTCATGATCATTATCAGCAGCAGCAGCGTCATCGTCATGATCATCGCCGCCTAATTTTAGCAGCAGCATCAGCATCAGCATCATCATCAGCAGCAGCAGCCACATCATCATGTGCATCATGACCAACATCATCACCAGCATCATCATCAAAATCATCATATTCTACACTGTAATCATCGTCGCCATCGTCACCATCACTGGCACCAGCATCATCATCAACATCACCATCATCATCTCCAGCAGCATCGTAGTCATCATCATCATCAGCATCATTAGCATCAGCGTCAGCATCATCATCATCATCATCATCATCAGCAGCATCAGCATCATCATCAGCAGCATCAGCATCACAATCGGAATCATCGATTTCATCGTCATCGTAACCATAATCATCAGCATCATCATCATCAGTATCACCATCATCATCACCAGCATCATCGTAGTCATCATCAGCAATATCAGCATCAGCATCATCCGCACCATCCCCATCAGCATCATCATCATCAGCATCAGCATCAGCAGCAGCATGATCAATGCCCATCAGCATCAGCATTAGCAGTAGCATCAGCAGCAGCAGCAACAGCAACAGCATCATCAGTATCATACTCATCATCGTCATCATCATCATCAGCACCATCATCATCGTCGTCGTCACCGTCATCGTCATCGTCATTGTCATCATCATCATCGCCATGGTGGTCTTTCTCGTGGTCGGGGCTCTCCTCTTCTTTTTCTCCTCCCTGCTCCCTGTTCACTGCTTCCTCCAATCAACTCCTTCTCCTGCTCCTCCTTCTCCTCCTCCATACTCCTCATCATCGTCCCTCCTCCTCCTCCTCGACACTCCTCCTTGCATTCCTCGTCCTGAAACTGATTCCTCCTCCTCACCCTCGAACTTCCTCGGCCTCCTCCTCAACAGTCCTCCTCCTCCGACTCTTCTGAATCCTCCTACGACTCTCCCCTTTCCGACGACAACGACAACGACCCAAACGACGACCATGACAACGACGACTAAAACAATGACGACGACGAAACCGACGACCGAAACGACGACGACGACGACGAAAACGGCGACGACGACGACGACGACGACGACCGAAACGAGGAAGAGGACGACGACGACCGAAACGAGGACGAAGGCGACGACGACGGCGACGACAACGACAACGACGATAACCACGACGACGACGACGACCGAAACGACGACGACGACGACGACGACCCCCACCATAACCACGACGGCGGCGACGACGATCACGACGACCGAAACGACGACGACGACGACGCCGAGCAGCGGCGGGCAGTCGAGGGCCGGGCCTGCTGAGGGCCAGGCGGCCCCGGAACGTCGGGCGCGGGGTCTGGCCCGTGTGGAACCAGCAGGTGCCCCACTCCTGCGGCAGGCACGGGCGACGACCACGACGAGGACGCGGACGAGGACGAGGACGACGAGGACGACGACCGAAACGAGGAAGAGGACGACGACGACCGAAACGAGGACGAGGACGAGGACGAGGACGACGAGGACGACGACGACGACGACGACGACCGAAACGAGGAAGAGGACGACGACGACCGAAACGAGGACGAGGACGACGACGAGGACGAGGAGGACGACGACGACGACGACGACAACGACGGCTGCAGAAGAAGGCACAACTGCATAAACATAAACTTTCAGCTGCTTGTTAGATGGGGTCCGAGTAGATGGGGTCGAAGGGTCGGGCCGCATCGCCATGCATCGCCGATGT